GTTGCTGACATGACATGATGAGATGGCGCATGACATGGTTTCTTTAAAGAGAAACAAAGATTACAAGGGGAGTTTTTGAATTTGAAGATCAATTGGTGGTTGCCAAAAATCAAGGATTGGAGATCCAATTGAACGTAGAAGTTTGGCAAGACAGTTCCTGAAATGATGGGATGCGAATAAAAGATCAAGGAAGATCAAAACAGTGAATTGCATTGAAGATGAGCAAAGCGAGTATAAAAGGACTGGACAAAGGAAAAGGGAATTAATCCACAACCACTCACAAATTGTGATATCTATTTAGGAGTAATTTAAATTAGCAATTTTAGGAGTAGATTAAGTGATAGCTTTTTCCAACCCCCATTTATTTTCTTCTGTTGATTGTTGTATTTGTCAATTCTTTGTTCTTGTTTAAGTTCTTGTAACTGGTAGCAAGTGACAATCCATTTGAATAAATATATATTTTGTTTTGTTCTATCGGATTTGGGGTGGCTATTATGCGGGGGTGTACAACAGCCACAATTGTGCAGCCAAATGGGGCCCATTTCGGGGCCTATTTCGATAATCCGAACCATTTAGATTTTAGAATACATCAAGTAAAACATACCTGCAAAAAATCAAATTAATCGGATATCAGTTACCCTTTCATTCACTCACATTTGTATTCATTTTAATAGTTTAAATCACAATTGTTATTTATTTTTGTAAATACAAATGTGAGTGGATAAAAGGGTAAACAATATCTGATTAACTTGATATTTTGCAAGTATGTTTTACTTGATATATTCTAAAATGTGAACTATTCATATTATCGAAATGGACCTCCGAAATGGACCCATTTGGCTGCACAACAGTGGTTGTTGTGCACTCGCACAACAGTCACCCCAAATCCTATTATATCTCTTCTTTATTTAATTACCTCCAAGGAAGTACTTAATCTGTTTAAGGCATAAAACTCAATCACAAAATCTAATCATTTTGTGTTTGTGTGGAAATTAATTTAAGTTAATCACTGTCAATTAGGCTTAAAACCAAATTTTTACCAACAAACATACAAACTCACTTTCTAGACCCATTTTCTAGAATGATGTGTAAATGATATAATTAGTTAATGATTAAGAAAATATATAAAAGCGTGTTGTATTAAATATCCTAATTGATTACCACCTTATTGAACTTAAAATTTGAGTCTAATTTTTTGTCTTAAATAGCAACATCATATACCAATTTTTCCTTCATTTTTTGAGTCAAAACTCTGCCAACTTTCAAAGCCAAAGATTGGGGGAAAATCTTCTTACATAAGATAAATCCTATTTTATGGCAGGAAAGGGTTCTCTCTCTGTGTCATTATGAGAAAGTAAGCGTTAGTTTAAAAATTATCAAAATCAATTTATGAAAAGATATATAATTTCAAGTTTTGATCCATGGAAGTTCTGAGAATTTGTCATAGGACCTTTCTCTTTTTCTCTTTCTTTATTGGGGAAAATATAAAGTTAGTTCCTATTTATTTTTCTACGATTATGATTTTGAAAATAGCATGTATGCAACCATTATTCTATTAAAAACTCTTTAATGAGATCTAGTTTAAGAACTTGAACTTAGTCCAAGTGGTTGTACCTTTAGGCTCCTAGAGAAAGGTTTGAAGTGTGAGTTTATAGAGAATCGTTGAATACACAATTATGCTAACCTAACTTAGAGCATCCCAATAATCTCCCTATTCCCACTTTTTCCCTACTTTGAACATAAAAGAATTCCATCCAACAGCCTCTTCAACTCTTTATTTAAGGGAGTGAACTTTTGATTTCCTACATTTAAGAATGGTTTAATCACTCCCTATAATTAAAAAACAACTCAGGTTAGGTATCAATTTTTGTAACTGTTGAGCCAAAAGGACATTATCTGTCCAAAAATGACACCTACATATTTAGAGATTACCTATCTATTCATATGTTCAAATATGTCACATATTTGTACACGTGTCACATATCTGTCTAACTATCTATTCAAATTTCGCCTATATGTACATGTGTGTTTGCACCATAAAATATTTTTACGTTAGTTGACTAAATCTAATCTTATTAATTGTGACTTGTCGATTATGGTCTACCAATTAAAACCATAAGCCATCTTTTAAAAATAACTATGGCCATATTTATTATTATTATTATTATTATTATTATTATTATTATTTGTTTTTTGCCGGACATGTGACAACATCTTGTTTACTTGGAAGTTACATAAAATAAGAAATTTAAAGAGGAAATTACATATTAGTGATTTTTTGATAAAATATTTATAAATTAATAAAAAATTATAAATTTAATTATTAATATTTATAAACTTTACCATTCATTTAAATGGTAAAATTTTTCTTGAAAAAGTACAGTGACTTGTTATTCTCCCAAATTTAAAAGACCATGGCAGCAGTATGCCTCCTGCAAATTAGTTCCCCCACTCTGCAAGCATCAAATGGATGTGGCACCACGTTCAACCTCTTCTGTGGCAGCAAATACTTGAGGCAACTTCCGTATTCTTTTATGCAGCAAGGTGCCCAAGGCAGTTTTTGAACTGTGGCTTTTGCCAATAAATAGGCAAAAGAGGAGACCAGCATAAATAAAAAAATAAAATAAACATCAGAATTATTATTATTAGTATTATTATTTACTTTCTTGTCTTGAGAGTAATTTAATCTTAATTTCTAAGAATAAAATAGTTACTTTCTTTGAAGATTAATGGAAACTATATTTTGTTGTATTCTTCATTTTTTTTTATTATTATTATTTCTCTTCATTTATTTGTTTTGAAGCACTTGTAGGAATTTATTTGTATTGTTGACGAGGTTTGTAGCCAAATAATCGGTCAACTGTGAGTTTGCAAAAATTTTAGTAACGTGTCATCTATTTGTTCAACTATATGTTCAATGTCACATATTTATCCACCTCACCACCACTAGCTACCGCCGTTGGTTGCTGACAACTTTTCCAATAACTTTTCAAAAAGTTTTTAAAGCGTGTCCTTATTACAAAAAGGATTAAACATTGACTAAATAATATATGACCCCATAGGAATGAACTTTTCACCAATTAGCCCATTAAAAGAATTCTTCTCTTATTCCTCATCTTTTTTTTCAAGTGGTGGAGGATAAAGAATAAAGATTGGAAACATATTTTTAATAAAAATGACACGGAAAAAATGTTTAAAGCATATAGAGGAAAAAACACAAAGTATTATTATAATTGAAAAAACAATTTCCTAAAATAAGAAAGACTTTTTAACTAAAATTTGAAAAACAAGGAAATATATTATGGGTAAATTACAAATACACCCCCTGAAATTTGCTTAAAATACAAATTACCTTTGTGGTTTGAAAAATTACAAATATCTCCCTGTCAAAATTTTTTATTTAACAGAATTAATTAAAAAGGTGAAATTTCTAACTTTTCACCTATACATTAATAAAATTATCTGAATTATTAATTGAAATAAAATTTTAACATTATTAAAAACTGTTAATTAACTTTGACTTATTAATAAAAAGATATATTTGTTATGAAATTAGAAACTTTATGAGACATAATGTAATTTTTAGAATTACAGGAGTAATTTGTAATTTAAGTAAATCTCAGAATGTGTGTTTGTAATTTATCCCAAAATAAAAAAATTATGCTTCAGCCATTCAAATCCACCCCATCATTTATGAAGATACAAAAGCATCGTTTGACATGGAACAATTTTAGTTTAAAAATCAAAAAATTATTAAAAAATTTTTAAAAACTTATAACTTATATTAAAAAGTCAAAAATTTATTTTTCCCCTCCTCTTTTGGACCCTCAACTCTTCTTCTGCAAATCTTCCTATCGTTGGAGCTCTCACTAGCAGTAGTCGCACCTTATCTACCCAACCCATCTTACCTATCGCCAGAGCTTAACATATTACAGCTCTAGAATCCCATCTCTGGCGACACCCATAACCTTTTTCCTTCCGCCTCTACTCCGGTTACCATTTGAAAACCCTTTCTTCCTTCTCTTTTCTTCTTCTCCAACCCCTCTATCTCAGCTCCAACAAACCACCATCGCACCACCACGATCAAAAAATCATCTCCCCCTTCACCCCGACTACCACCATCACTATCACACCATTGTCATCCCTAAATAAAAGATATAGGGTTCTACCAAGCCATTTCGCTTCCCTAATCATCATTGCCGCCTGTGTGAATCTAATTGATCGATGAGAGAAAGAGATCACGTGAAAGCAAAGTCGCCTCTGAAATCGTTCGATCGATAAAGAGAGAAATCGAACAGGAGTAGAGAAGAAAAAGAAGAAGAAGAAGAAGATGATGGTGATGATGATGATGATGATGGAAGAGGAAAAGAAGGCGAGGCAAGGGAAGCCTTCAGAGGCCAACATTAGGTGTGACAAGAAGGGTGAGCAGTGGCTGTCAGAGGTGATGAAGATGGCTTGTGGAATTAGGGTTAGGGTTTAGGAAATTAGGGCTAGAATTTGAGGGATGAGGCTAGAAATGAAATTTCATAATAAATAAGCAAAATTAATATTAAAATAATTATAATACTAACTCAAAATAACATGGCACCATATTAACCATGTACTGCGTGATTTATGGGCAGTAAAATTAAGACTGCAAACAAATTGAACTGTTCATGAACAGTTCGAGTTCAGCTCATTTAAAGTTCGAGCTTGATTTTTAAACTTGTTTATTAATTGAGCCGAGCTCGAGTAGTCCCAAGCTCAGCTCAATAAGGCTCGTGAACAAAAAAAAAAAATAATAAAATAAAATAATAATAATTAAAAATAAATAAATAAAAGTATATCCTAAACCAAAAATTAATACCCAATCCTGAACCAAAGCCCAGCTGAGCCACAAAAGGGTGGCACTGGCAAGGGCAAAGATCAAGGGCATAAGTGAAACAGAGAATGTAAACCACCCACCATCGACGCATCATTTGGACATCTAACACAACCCTCCTGGAAAAGTGTCATCAATAGAGAAAAGAGGTTCAGATATGACAACCAACCAACCAACCTCTGAAACATACCAAACTACAGTTTACTATCTAAGAATATGTAATGAAGCTTAAATTGTCCTATTAGAGGGAGAAGAAAAGTTTGGAATTCTTAATGACATTCCATTCCATCTTATACACTAGTCAATTCTCAGTTAACATGGGTTCTTTTCATCAAATTCAAGCATGAAAGCACAGGCACTAGCTACTCTTGATCCCCGCCCATCCTATCTAATTTGCCAAATTACTCTCAAACTGTAATCATTTCTAACAATATGAAACACCACTGTCATCATAGCAATAAGACCCAATTTACAGCAGTTGAACATCCTCGGCGATGTGGATAAACTGTCATCTTTCTATGCCCCTGCAAAATTATGAACAAGAATCACTCACCATACAAATAAATAAACAGCATCCACACAACTGGATGGCCAGATGTAAGCTCCTCACATTTTGTTTGTCTCATCCTATGTTATATGGACTCTTCAAAATAAATCAAATACCCTACACTTGGACAAGGATATGAAATGTGTCCAATACTTTCTATTGGGCATTGTTTATATATTTCTAATTAACATTCTCATTATATGTATTTATTATTGTAAAATTTGTAAGACACAACAACCAACAAAGGGTAAAAAGCAAACACTTGTTTCTTAATTCTCAGGCAACCTTCAGTGTCATAATTCGCGAATACTGTCCATTTTAGGTTTTCAAGAAAGGGGCCACCAAGTAGGTTCTTAGCCCCGAGAGGTTGGCTTGGTGGTCAAGGCTTGGGGGTGTGCACCCTCCAAAGTCTTAGATTCGAAACCTCATGAGTGTAAATAATTTCTTGGAGCTAGTCCATATGGGGTTTGTTCTAGCTTTAATTGAGCCCCCCACTAGTGGAAGGTGGGATTGGTCCCCAAGATTAGTTGGTCTAGTGGGGTGGATACCGAGTTATCAAAAAACAGAAGTAGGTTCTTGATGCAAAACAATGGACACAAGAATTGATGTAGATGGTAAGCACATATACTGACTGAAGATGGATGAAATTCAAGAATGTGAAAACATTTGAACTCTTCTATTCACGGAAAAGGCATGTTGTCTATTCACAGTATATACATAACATTAAGTAAATTGTAAACAAAATCAAAGAGAACGCACGTAGGAGAGTTGTTCATCATCATAATTGTAAAATATTCTCATCATCGGAAGAATACTTGAAGAAAAATGTTGAAATAATTAAGATCAACTTTACAGTTATAATTGGAGTCCCTCCAAAGTTGGTAAAGACAATAAAGTTACAAATAATAAATAAACAAATAAATAACAGCAATGAAGGCAACAAAAAACTGATCCCCACCACCATCCTCCGGATCTCATAACCACCTTTTTTATTAATGCACCAAATGTATTTATCATGTAAAAGTGGGGAGACTGCCAATACCCACTATGAAAGCCAAAAGTAGGAGCTTTGAACCCTATAAGGGTCACAACAACAAAGAAAATTTCTTAGTATTGTTGATTGTAGTTGTTTGAGTCAAATTTATTTCATCATGCTATTAAATATTTCCTTTTCCATTTTTGTTGTGTTTGACATAATTTCATATTTCATCATACAAAGGCAACGTTTCGTCTGTTTCACCTGATGTCACAGTCGGTAGCGGGTGATTCTCCACAAAAAATGCAAAAGTTGGTTCAGTCATCAGTACTAAAATATTGCATCTGACAAAAAACTGACCGACCGACCGAATTATTTATTCTCTTTAAGTCATTTTACATGTGGTGTGTTTTTATTAGCTAAAGGAGTTAACCTTATCACTTATATACAGCTATCCTATTTCAAATTAATGATTATCTCTGTAGATCTAAGAGATGAGTGGTTTACTCTATTGCTTTTTTTCTTGTTCAAAGAGCTTTGCTATTATCAATATAGAAGGTTGACAGACGTTTGTCACATCTGTCTCTCATTTACTACTCTATTTCACTCCTCTCTAATGAATTATGAAGTTCTCTTCACCCAATACTCCTCTCTCTATTCTCACTATCTCACCAAAACCACTTTCTCCCTTTTCTCCTCTCTCAATGTCTCTCTGTCTTACAGTGGCTGGAGCCATGAGAGGATTCAAGGGGCGGTGAGGCCAAGATATTAACAGAGATGTTGCATTGAGATCGTGATGCGATGATGGTGGCGGTGAGATCGCGATCTTGAGGTTGACCGTGAGATCGTGATCTTTGATCTTCCTACCTCCAAACCCTCATTGCCATCTGTAACCCCTCATTTCCTCTTTTTATCTCCCTTCTCTCAAACCCTCTTCCCCTCTGTTCCTCCATCCCCCGAAATGCCTGAGTCCCCTTCCCCTCTGATCTCCCTTCACTAGTAGTTGTTTGTTGTATTAATGCAGACAGTTAAAGTTTGGTGCAAAACCGACCGAAGCCCGAACCGATTTTTCTATACCCGAAGTGATCAGTTTCGAACTATTGTTGGGTCGAAATTGGTTGGCAAGCTCTCCAAACCGAGGTTGTCGGTTTGGGTGACGGTTGGTTCATGAATCCGATCTGATCCAACCTGACCCATGTACAGCCCTAGTACAAAGAAAGGAGAACGAGTAGTCCTCAAGAGAAAGAGTACATCTCAGTGCAAAAGAAAATAAAAACCTAAATTTCACAAACTAACAACCAATCCCTAGAAATCAAAAAGAGGATAACCATTCAAAAGGGGGAGCCACCAAAGCCAGACATACTTTATTCCGCAAAAAATCCAAGTCCTCAAATTTGTCTTCAAGATCCTTGCGTTTCTTTCTGCCAAAATGACTTAAAAGATTGCAAAAACTGTAGAAAGCCAAATCACCATTGCCCTCTGCTTGCCACCTAAGCCTCTGAAATCAATTAAAATCATGTGGGCGCAATCTTTTAGGGCCACCCACATAGAGATTCCAAAAAGAAAAATGTATGCCATAAACAAGCCATGGGACAATTAAAAATAAATGATTCAAGGACTCGCCATCTCTACCGCACATGATGCACCATTGAGGACACAGACAATAATTAAGCCTCCTTTTTTGTAATGTATCATTAATTAATATGCCACCATGAACCAACAACCACATAAAAATCTTTACCTTGAAAGGCACAAAGGACTTCCAAATTCTCTTATGAAATAGGGAAAAAGAAGCACACGAATTATAAATGATCTGATCAAAGAAGACTTACAAGAGAAAATTCTTGAAGAGTGAAGAAGCCAAATCCTTTTATCACCCTCATTTGAAGTCAAAAGAAAAATGATCAATCCCGAACAACAAAGAAACCAACTCCCCAGCCTCCCTATCCTTTAAATTTTGGAAAAAGTTAAAATTCCAAGAAAACGATGCCACTGGAACATGCCAAAGCAATGGAAAGATTATGAGAACGGGCCACTTTGTATAAATGCGGATAGGATACTTCAAAGGAAGAATCACCTACCCAAACTGTGAGAATATAGAATATATTATTGTTTGTTTTGTACAAATTAGAGTCCTATTAGAGTCATGATTGTGTTAGAGTCCTGTTAGAGACATAATTATAATTGTATTTGTATTTTCCTTTTTGGTTTAGGATTTAGGGCTATATAATCTAAGGTCTGATTGTAATCTTGGATACAATGAAATATACAGAAAAGTTTTCAGAAATCTTACATGGTATCAGAGCAGGTCACGAAACCCTACATCGTCTGTTGAAGAGTGTCAGAGATCCTCTCTAATCCAGTCGTCTAATTTGGGCTTTGTTGGGTAATCGTTGGAATCACGGTCTTCTGTCACCAGAATCGCGCGTCGTTGGTTCAAACTGGTTCGCAATCCATCTCTCTCACAGACCTGGTTGTCAATCGAAGCTCCTTGCTTCGTGGATCGTTTGTTCATCTCTTTACCATGTCTAAGTCTGGTTCCTCTCGTGACCCATCTAGTCGACCTCTGGTTCGTCTCTTTGCTCTCTCGATCTTTGACGTGGTTCCTCTTCTTTCTGGTTAACTTGTGTGACCCATCTGGTCGACCCATCTGTTTAACGTGGTTGTAGTGCTTCGACTCCTCACAACTCAGTTTGCCTCTCTCCTTCTGGTTCTCTCGACTTCCATTTGCCTCTCTCGGCTTCTCTTGACTTCAGTTGGTCGTCTCCCTCTCTCTGAGTTTGCTAGTTTGCTTTGGTCTTTTAACGATGATCTCTCTCTTCATGTTTGATATCTGATTTCAACCCACCAAGTCTTTGACCCATCTGTGCTAGTTTTTGGGTTATTACAATTTGACCCCTCATATATTTTGAGTTATTACACTTTGCCCCCTCAGATTTTGAATATTACACTTAAACTCTTGGTTTGGCTATTTTGTTTAATTATACTTGAACCTCTCAGTTTTCTGATTACTATGATGTCTCTGGCTTCTGATGAGTGTGCTTTCTGCCATCAGAAAGGCCATTGGAAGTACCATTATCCCAAGAAGAGATGTTTGTCTGCCACATCTTTTCAGCAGTCTCAGAATCAATTCTGGGCTTCTCCCGCTGCGTACACTACATCCGCTCCAGCTCCTGATCCTAACTTGGCTTCCTTAACTGCTCAGATTAGTCAGCTTCAACATATATTGTCTACCTCTCAGCCATCATCATTTGCCTCTATTGTTTCCTCTCTTCATTCAGGTTTGCTTGGTTCTTCTTCAGGTATTTCTTCGTCTATTTGGATTTTTGACTCTAGTGCTTCTCATCATATGACTCCCATCTCTCCTTACTTCAAAATTGTACTCCTCCTCCCTTTCCTATTACTGTCAATGCTGCTAATGGATCTAGTATGTCTGTTGTATCTGTTGGGTCTGTCCTACCGTCTGCTATGTCTGTTGTCTCTATTCCATCTGTCCTTTATGTTTCTCAGTTATCTGTCAGTTTATTATCTATCAGTCAACTTGATGCTGCTAGTTTTGATGTTATCTGCTATCTGTTATGTACAGGATCGAATGTCTAAGCAGCAGATTGGGATCGGCCGTAGAATTGGAGACCTCTATGTAGTGGAGAGCTTGCATCTGCCTATAGTAACCTCTTTGACTGCCTTTTCTCTTTTCAGTTAGATTCTCTGTCTAGTCCTTTCTACTTATGACATTATCGATAAAGGCATTTGTCCGCTGACCGCTTACGGTCTTTAGCTGAGTCAGGTATTTTAGGTAAAGTTTCTCCTAGTGAACTTACTGAATGTCGGGGGTGTAAACTTGCCAAAATGACAACCTTACCTTTTCGTAAAAGTACTTCTATATCTGATACACCGTTTTCTTTAGTTCATACTGATGTTTGGGGCCCTTCTTCTGTTCTCACCAAAGGGGGTTCTGCATACTATGTGTCATTTGTTGATGACTGCACCCGTTACACTTG